AGAAAAAGAGAGTAGCAAATGGTGTGAATGCACCATATATAGATATACATATTTACATAGAGAGGGAAGAAGGAAAGACGAGCAGTATAGGGAACACCGCGTACACGCGCGGTCATGTGCCGTATAACACCCACAAGACAAATTGTTTGTATGTGCAGTGCGCATATTATGTAGTTTATAGGTAGTTCTCGTGGTATATATAATATCTTGTCATTGGTTGTTGGTATTATTATTATTTATTTATTTATTTATTGTATTTTATTCACGTTTTAATTTACCACCTAATTGTGTTCCGGATAATAGTTACGCTATTGCTCTGATGTACCTGTACTGTATGTAACGAAATTGTCATGTACCATATAGGGCCCCTGAGTCCTTGGTACTTAATAAATAATTCAATTCAATTCAATTCAATCTTGTACTCGCAGGTTCGCGGTGGCTTAATGGAAATGTATACACGCGAGCACATTGCGCGTAAAATGATAACAATAATAATGATACCTTGTACACCGCAGTTACAAATAAGTAAAGGAAGAAACGGCCCAAGTGAAACGAGCATGATGTATATATATATATATATATAGATACTTACTTGTCTGCCATAATGCTTTGTACAACTTAGGTATGTATATTATATAAATGATGGTATTATTATGCGAATACTTTGTTTGCGAATCTTCCGGGCATTTGTTCGCAGTGAATTCAAACGCCAGATAAATCCTGAATGAGAAGTGCCATCGGGGTACACACAGAGTCGTGTTTGTGCCGCCTCTATTATATATATATATATATATATATATATATACAATGGAAGCAAGTGTATATATATATATATATATATATACAATGGAAGCAAGTGTATAGCTGTCTCTTATCAGTTTTTGTTTGTCCAAGTGATGATGCCTGTACGCTTTTGTCTCATTGTTAACATTACGCTTTTAGCGGCACGCGTTTTTGTCGTTGCAGTATACAATACAAGCCAAAAGCCATTATATTCTTTGGAGGTGCAACTTACGCAAAGCGTCTCCAAATTGCACACATGGATGTTGTTGAACGCCGATGCTTGATTTTTTTTTTTTTGTTTTTACCAAGCAAGAGGCAATTGAGCAGCTGGATTTGTGTTAAACGTTTGCGTCTATACAGAGACAAATGTTATTTATCAATTACGAATGTAGGTAGTTGTTTTGATTTATATCAACCGGTGCCATCACGGCTTAGGCCAATTTTTAAATTGTAAACACATTGGTATACCTGGAGTAGTCCGTGATTTTTTTTTTTTTTTTTTTCGATGGATGAGTACAGCCAAAGTATTATAAGATAAAGTAATCAACAAAGTATTGGATTATGTATATGCACAATAACGGGGGCCACCCTCGTTTGCCGTTGGAAATCATTAATTATTACACGCAAAACATGGGGCTTGCATTTACATTTCTCTGACGGAAAGGTGATTATACGAGTCACCGCGACGTATTGGTTGTGCTTAAAAATGTTGGGTGGAAAAAAAAAAAAAAAAAAAAAACGAACCAGATAGTAAGTAAATAAGAAAGGAAGAGCGTTATATATAAGCATCAGAGCCAGGCCGTAGCTGGAAAGTAAGTATTTTTTAATTAAACGCCCCGGAACGTGTGTATTTGCGACTTGCACCGTGAACTCCTCGGGTCTCATTCACCGACGCGCGTGGGGTACCCTCGCACACATCCAGATATCAACGCGAATACAGAATTTTCACCGCTGCATCGCCGTGTGAAAAAAAAAAAAAAAACAAACAAAAAAAAACGGAGCACATCAGATGCGCATTAATTAAAAAGAAATAAGAGCTCACGTGATGTTATACGCGCGTACACGAGCCCCTTTTTTTTCCCTCAACTTCACAGGCCGGTGCTCGAGAACTCGTAAATACACTTTTCCGCGTACGTACAACGGTAGGATTAGCGCGCTTGCGTCATCACGTATTTTGTGGGTGACTTTAACATTTTTTTAATCCGCACATTGTCGGCGACGGCAGCATGGCCCCTGTGATGAATCGTTCTTGCGCTGCTTTGCCGAAAAGCCGTGGGGGTGTGTTTTTGCTAAACGCCCGATGCGAGCCATCGCTTCATCAGGAACCGCACATCGGAAAGTTTTTTTTTTTTTTTTTCCATCGCACGCGCGCGTTTCCCATACGTGATTTAAATTTCTCTCGGGAAACTCTCTCGCAATATGATATACATGACGTGTCCCGGTCGGCTCGTCTTTTTTTCCCATCCGCCGGGGTCTTTTGGTTTAATTAAACGTGCCTCGCATGCACGTTACACGGCCGCAAGCTCATTACATATACATATAGGTATTACACGTATAATTTATGTTTTGCACGCACGAGAGAGAGAGTATGGGTGTATAATCAAACGACGTATATAATACACAGACACGGCGTATACGTGATGCCACCGTGGCAAATAATCCCTCCTTGGGTTTGTCCATCGATTTTCTCAAGATCGCAAAAAAGCTCTCCCTCTGTCATACATATATCAGGGAATTCAATGTGTAATATACGAAAGTGGGTGTATAACGAGAACAATTCCTGCGAAATACAGTTGGAACAACGGCAGGGCACGCACAGGTACGAGCAAGAGAAAACGCCCCGGAAAACTGGAGAGGAGCTTTTCTCCCCCCCCCCCGGCGGTTAAATGATTTTCCTCCGGTGAGATGCGCTCTTTGTTCTCGCACCTATACATATCCCACCGGTGAGCATTTTGACGCGCGTTCCTTTGTGCATAAGACAACACATCCCTCCCGGAGCTTGCCCCCCTTCTTCTTCCCCGACGCGTTCTCCGTCCGAATCAGACTTTTACTCCTCGACTAGGTGGGTGCTTTTCTTGTTTTTTTTTTTTTTTTTATTTCTGCTTTGCCCTGCAACGGTACACACGTGTAGCCCAGGTATATGCAGGCGAGGAGGAGGAGAGCCCCGACGCGACGTGTAATATAAGGTTTCCATCAGAGAGAGAGAGAGAGAGAGTGCGAGGGCAATCCGTGCATCAGCTAGTGGGGTGCCGCCATGACAGCTGATCGCATTCTCATCGTCGTCGGCGCTTGACGTTCTCCTCGTATTTTCTCGTCTTTTACCTCGTGCGGTTTAGTGCTGCTCCCCTCGAGGAGATACTCTGGAGACCTTCCGGACGCAGCAGAGCTCGATCGCACTTCCTCGTTCGGAACATGACAGTTTGTGAATGCAGCCACGACAAATGGCAGACAGCTTCTTCGGCTTTGACACGTCCCACGGTGTAAGTACCACGGCCTCCTGGTGCACTCACCCCTACTTACCCACTGCTGTTGACTCTCTACGCTAATACATACCCGTGCATGGCCTCCGCTCGCTCAGGACTGCCTATACCTCTGTTGTTCCATTAGCTGCGTTAGGCACGTCTTGAATGCCTNCTTTTTTTTTTTCCTCGCTACGTTTGTATCGGTACACTGCAGTGTATCACCGATTGTGCAAGATCTCTGACGAATAATATTATTCGATCATCCTACAGCCGGTATTACATACCTACTCAAGATCTAACGGTAAAAATTAGAATTCACCAAGACGAATCTCGAATACCAATAAAACGTTACTCTGTTTATGATGATTTTTTTTTTTTTTATTATTATTATTCCATCGCTATAATCTCTAACGGGTATCTGTCACTGCGTCGACGTCGGCGACTCAAATTTGCTCGTATAATCGCTCAGAGATGAACGACCCACGTGATGTAAGCAAACATATATATGCGCGTGAGCGAGAGAAGAGTGCCGCTTGCGTATACGTGTATGTAGATTTTACGAGCTTATTATACTCGCGTATATATATATGTTTGTACGAGAAGGGGAGGAGAGGGTCTTTTTCCAAAGGGCATCTCGTGGACGATCATCGCACGAGGCGACCTACATCGGAACTAATGTACGTGCTTTTGACTCGGACGCTCGCGCTGATTTTTCCCCGGCAGCTGTCGCACCGACATGAATCATTCAAAAAAAAAAAAAAAAAGACCGGTGCGGCACGCGCGTGAGTTTAGAATTTCAATTGCCTTGTATCACTTCCCTCCCCCGTTTTTGTTCCTCGTGTTCCGATTGGCCATCTCCAACGGTTGGACCTTTTATTTTTGTTGAAAAATATAGGAAAAGAGGATAATCATGGTGCAACCTAATACTATCGGTTCACGGCGTTGGTACATTTGATTAGCTAATGCGCCGGGACGACGGTGGCCAGCTGGAAATTATACTTGAGGAAGTGAACAACTATTTCACCAGCGAGCTAAGAGATCTTAATGGGTCAATTAATTTTTTTTTTTTTCCTCCAATTTTTATCAGCACCCGAGGACTGCAAAAGGAGATACCTTGTAATTAAATTAAGCGGTCGTCGTGGCGCCCTGCTTGCTAATTGCCCTCTTCCTTGATGACGATTAGCTTTGCGTTCCGTTTCATTCAAATGGTTAACGATTACGATACGAATTTGAATGAAATTTGCCTTTGAACGAGTCTGCAGGATAAGGGCTGTCCAAACACATTCATCTCTCCAAAAAATGCGTCTTGGCCGGTGCGAACAACACTGCACTCGAGGGATGAATAAATACAAGTTCAGGAGAAAATGGTGCACTGAGCGTCCCTCGCGTTTCAGAGGAGATTAAAAAAGACGTTTAAGATAGCCGAGCAGAAAGTGGCGTTGCGTGCCTATATATTCTCATACCCCGTGCGGAAATGTATGCAATATATATTACGTGCTTGGGTGTACCTATATACCTATGTACTCCTGCTGGCGTTTGCGATGAGCACCGTAATTAAGCTGCAGCTTTTCGAGCATTATTTCTCTTTTGAACTTGCCGCTGATGTAACGCCGACGCATGCCCGTGGCTTAGTTTTAGAGCCGCGCTCTTTTCTGTGATTAAAATATTTTATTAGATACCAAATGTTACGAGAAAACCGACAATTGGTATGTTACGTGAGATGTTTGTAGTTGTCGTATTTGAAAAACGGTACAATTTAGTTTTCATATCACATAGTTGGTTGCAAGTAACTTTTGCAGCCAATCATGCAAATTTATTTCAACATTTTTCAACAATAATTATAATTTAAAATATTCTTCAATATCATCGGTTTTACTTTATCAGTGTACATTTGATTGGTTAATCATGAGTCAAAGTAGTAGCTATTAAAAAACAAAAAAACAAAAAAATTTAATTTTCACTTCACCTTTTGCATTTTGTACAACTCACTTGAAAATTTATCTTTAGCGATTTTGCTATAGATGTAAGTGCGCCTTATCATTCAATGACTGGTACACAAAATTTTATGACCATCTTTACAGTCACGTCTCAATGCGAGTCATCAATAATATCACTCATTATATCTTTGAGAAAATCTACCTGCGTGGCATTGGTATAAAGATTTCCTGAAACAAAACGTCATTCCGTGATATCACGTACGAATGAATATAATATGATTTTACATGATTATGTACATACCAATAAAGTTCTTTGAATCTGTAACATGTGATATGATTTTACAATTTCTCTGCCTGTCCACAGTAAATCCCACACAGCGAAAACGTTGGTCTGTCGTATAAAGTGTGCTGCTCTTGTGAGGATTTGAATAAGGCTGACCACTGAAGGGATTGATAAAGTCTGCCCAGTAACCACACATTTTCAATTTTTTACATATATCCGATGCAGCCAGAACAAACTACAAGAAAACGAACATCACAAGAAATGGAACTAAAATATTTTTTTTTTTTTTTACAATAAATATTTAGCAAAGTGAAAAAAAACTCACATGTTGTGCCAATCGTTCTGTTTCATTTTCTTTATTCCATTTCGTCTTTTTTTTATTAGATTTTTGACTAATGGTAATTATGGTTAACTGTGGAGACGCGACCTCTAGGCAGTTGGGAAACAGCTCTAAAATATCTTTCCTTAGTAATGTTGGGCACTCTTGGGCAGTGCAATGTAGAATAGAAAAAGTTTCTTTGCGGCTGACAATGTTCTGTTTTTGCTCACTTCCTGGTCTATCATTAACATTTGGCACTAGCGCAGAGTAAACTTCGACTTGAGCTGTGGTCGATGAATCTAGCCAACCAGGGCCAATACCTCCAGGCAGGTAGAAACGAAAACCATGTGGCGTTAAAAGTTCCCAGTTGGAGTTTGCTCCAAAAATGTGGTTATCAACTTCTGTCATGAAAAACACAAAAACTAATATTAGCTGCTCGTTAGAGGATAACGATGATAAGATACAGCTAATGATGTAAGTTAGCAATCATATGATAAACTGTATCATAAATTGACAAGTTGCCCAATGCAACGTTTATTTTTGTCATCCAAGTGATGCGTAATAAGGCATAAATAAACAAACAACAAAAAATCACATCCATCTGGAGTTGATTTATATTATGATGAAAAAAAAAATGGTGGGGAAAAAAGTTTTATTGTCAATAATGTATGCACTAACCATTAAGGGCATCGTTGTTAGATTTGACAAGTTTGTAACTACTGGTGTTTCTGTCGCTTCGCCGCGAGTATTTCGCCTTGGAGATGACTCTGACGGAAGAAGCTGAGACGCAAACTCTCTGAATATTACGTATACCAAACATCTGCAAGTAAAAAGTAACACAAAACACAGGAGGTTAGTATTTGACAAAACTCCGCTTCAAAATGTGTAAACAAGACCAGATTGCAGAGTTAACTGCACAAAAAGAGGCTCTGCACCACGGGTTTTTGTGGAAAACTCACAATTTTCAGCAGTAAAGCCACATAATGAAATTAAAACGTTGATGTTAACGTATTGTCTTGCGACAAGTTCCCCCAGGTAGGGGACAATCGACAACTGTACCAGACTGTACTGACCGCAGACTGACCGTACTGACACTACTGACACTGACTTTTGAAAATATATATTTTTTCCTTTTTTATTCTGCATCGATAATACTTACTACTCGTATACATTTATCACACATAGGTATCATATACCTGTGTACGTGTAATACAACATTAAAATCGACTTTGAAAGATTGAGAGTCGACGTCGATACTTTGAATTTTTTCGCGCACTTGCTATTTTTTCATAGCATTTACATGCGTTGATTTTATATGAGTATTGCAATTTTATTTTTTATCAAATATGTCAAAATACAATATCATAACTCATCAAAATGAATTAACTATTGATAAATCCTATGCAGGACTAAGAATTTTTGATTCAATGACAAATTCATAAATTCAAGCTCTTAAAAATTTAGCCCAGACGAATATAAAGAGGGTGAAAAAACAGACCCTGCAGACGAGCAATCAAAAACGTAAACAGCGGGACTCGGGGGTTGTTGTTCGAGGGGGCGCTGCACCAGGTATGCGCCATTTTCAGGATCGCTGTTCTCGCAGCAAATTTCACACAGTCCAAAAGCAAAGACAATAAAAGCGCAAGAAAACGCAAGCAAAAATATACATAAGTAAAGAAGAAAGGAAAAAAGAGAGAGAGAGAGAGTAATTTAAACGCATCAAAGAACGAAGGATAAAAGAGGAGAGAAAGCGAGAAAAAAGTCCCCGTTGTCCCCGGAGATCCGAGAGAGAGAGAGAGAGAGAGTGCGAGGGCAATCCGTGCATCAGCTAGTGGGGTGCCGCCATGACAGCTGATCGCATTCTCATCGTCGTCGGCGCTTGACGTTCTCCTCGTATTTTCTCGTCTTTTACCTCGTGCGGTTTAGTGCTGCTCCCCTCGAGGAGATACTCTGGAGACCTTCCGGACGCAGCAGAGCTCGATCGCACTTCCTCGTTCGGAACATGACAGTTTGTGAATGCAGCCACGACAAATGGCAGACAGCTTCTTCGGCTTTGACACGTCCCACGGTGTAAGTACCACGGCCTCCTGGTGCACTCACCCCTACTTACCCACTGCTGTTGACTCTCTACGCTAATACATACCCGTGCATGGCCTCCGCTCGCTCAGGACTGCCTATACCTCTGTTGTTCCATTAGCTGCGTTAGGCACGTCTTGAATGCCTAGTCTGTGTGTTTTTGGAGCACGAGGTCCAAACGCACGTTGTTTTCGTACAGACCTCTGAAGCCCTTTGGTTCAAGAGCTTACCTGTGCATGCCACATGTTGCCGGCAACGTTTATGCTTCACTCGGTATACTTACTTACTTGCCTACCTACTTTCTGTGCGTTTCCAGATCATTCCCTGGAATTCAAAAGAACGTGCATTTCTCCAAGTATACTTCCAGAACATCACGCACAGGCATAAATAATAAATATTATATTTCCCTTTTCTCGTCCCTTTGTTTTTTTTTTGTTTTTTGTTTGGTAAATTTGTGTGTACTTTGACCTCGAGTGTTTACATGGCTATTGGTTCATAGTCGGGTTGGATCCTGCATCAGTGTTACAGAAAAGAGAGTGCTTGTGCTGCTTGGGGTATATCATAAGACAGCTCAGTTGCTTATCGGCGGTTTCTGAGGAAACGGTAGCTTTGGAGTATCAGTTTAACTCTCGTATTACATTGTGTGGTGCTTATCTAAGTTGTATAGTTGGCAAAAACTTCTTATGTTCCCTGAACTTTGTTAACCTCTAGTAGTGTAGAGTGTTTTAATAACTGTAAGCCCGATTTGACGATGCAATTTTTAATTCAACAGTTAGAGGCACAATTTTCTCAAGAGTTTTTATTTGTGTTTGTAATAGTGTTTTTTGCTTTACCAATTTAGGCTGGACTGGACGACGGGTTAGATTATCCAGATGACGAAGACTTTCAAGAAGAAAATTACGATGCCCTGAACGATGAGACCTTTGGATCTGATGCAGGACCTGGAGATTGGGAGGAAGATCACGAAAAGTTAGCCCAGATCACTGAGTCGAATAGATCTCGACTCAAGAATGATTCAAGCAAGGTAATATGCATGAAAAATACTTTTATATTTCAAGTAATGTCGGCATGTTAAAAATTATACGATTTTCAGAGTGAATCGGAAATAGATGTGGAAAAGAGCCTTTCACATCTGGTTCTCGATGAGAGAGACCTTACTATTCCAAAGCCAGGTGTTTGGGACAGTCCAACGAATTTTTCCATTGCACCAACGCCAATTTTGCCAAAGCCATTATTATCGGCAACACTCAAAAATGCTTGCACAGTAGAAGAGCTAGAGAGGGGTCTCATTTCCAACAGACCACCCCCTGGGCTTACAAAACCACCAATCTCTCAATCATCAAATACCAATGCTCAAAATTTGCTTCTTAATTCGATAACATCAGGAGATAAGTTACCACCCATCAATGGTATTGGTCCACATCAAGGAAATCAGTATCCTTTGGTACTTCCACCCAATGTCAGATTAGGACATCCACCTTCGTTATCTCTTCCTAATGTTGGGCAACTACTCAGTGAGTTTCAATTAACTAATCAAAATTATTATTTTTGGCATTGTCTGCATATTTGCCGTAATTTATTGTCATCACTTCAGATCAAACAGGAAACCTTTTGAGGTATCAACTTCCACCTCATTTGTTGATGCAAGCTGGCAATCAAAGGCAACCACCCTTACCTGGAAACTTTCCACTAAACAACTTTCCTGTGAGTACTCAAACTATCAGCCACTTTTGAAGATATTTAAAACGCAAAAAGCCAGTATACTAAATGACTTGTGTTAATTGCAGCATCATAACTCAAGACTTGGACCTTTTCCGTTTATAAGACCAGATCATCCTATGATGGGCCCTCACAATAATCATCATCAATCGATGCAGCATCATAACATGCACATGGGAAACCAACGCAATCAAAATAACAAATTTTGCCATGATCGCCAAGATAATCATCATCAGCCATTCTTCCGCAACAACCAATATTATCATCAAAATCACAATAACATGAGGTATCACAATCAGGGTCACCATGGGTATTACCAGAACATGAACCATCATTACCATCAGAACAATCCACCTAGTAATGGTATAGGTCCGTCTGGAGAACTAGACGAATATGCTGGCCTCATGAATCACAGAGAAAAGCAGTGGTTGCACAGCATCCAGCTATTGCAATTGAATACGACTCAGCCATATGTTGATGATTATTACTATACAGTGTTTTGCTACAGGATGAATAAGAAAAATGAAAATCATAATGGCAATAAAATTAACAACAATAGCAGCATCAAGAAATGTGATAACATGAAAGGTGGACGAAACAGTAACAACAACAACAGTAATGGCTACAGAGATTCAAGGTACGAATTTTTTAAGCTTTTTTTATTAAGGAAATGATAAATAACAACCAAGTCATATTTTAGGGACAGAGATCAACAGCAACAACCCACGATACCCAAACCAACCACTCCAATGCAATTTGAGAATTCTTTAGGAAAACTGCAGTACAGCAGCGTTACTGCTCCCAGAAAAATTATCGATATGGATGTTGTTCCTAACAGCGATCCACATCAAACTCCAACTGTTCAGCAAAAAGATACGAAAAAAACTCGCCAACTGTTGCTCGAAATTGAGAGGGTGATTATTTTTTCCAGCATGATTTTTAATGCTTAAATTTTTTAAAACATTCAAGAACTTTTATACTTTCAGATGTACGTGTTGTTGCTGAAACTTGAAGATATAGGAAACCCTATAGCTATATTAGCTGATCAGCAACGTGAACAGCTGCTGAAAGAACAACAGCAACAGGCACATCAAGATGGTGCTGAACCAGTTCCTGTACCCGAAAAAAAGGACCCAGTAAAGGAAAAAGAAGAGCTCGTCTCATCTATAATGACCTCTCTTTTGCAATTTGTGCAAGAAGATAAATTGACCAGTCTTTTTAGCATACGCAAAGGAAAGGTAAATAATTTATGAATAAGCCAATTAGGTTTGTAAGCAAATATTTATCAATTGATTTTGTGCATCCAGATGATGTTTCTTCGTTTCTTATCCTGCATCAATGTAAAAAAGCATGAAGAAAATTTAAACAAGCTGTGGGTTGCTGTCATCAAAGGCTTAACATTAATTGGCCGAAAAGATTCTCAATTGTTGTTTAATTTTTATGTCGAATTTATTAAATGCATGAACGATTCTCTACTGATGAATCTGTCCAAAGAACTGATCGAATCTACAAATCAGCCATCCAAAAGTAATAACCTTGCTGCTGTCCTTACGAACAAGGTAAGTTAATTTTCTCAAAATTCCAATTTGTACGAGTACTTTTTATAATTTAACATTTCGTTACCGTTTTTTTAAGTTCGGACTATCGGTAATATCAATGATACTTATGTACGCCGAAGACATATCCTCGCATGAAAACGACGTACCCGAATCGTTTGCTGAGCAGTGGCCGAAATTTCTGCAAGCCATCTTCGATTGCGCGACCTCGACGCCTGTCGTCGCGCCCTGGGACTACCTGAAAGTCGAGAATCTCAGGAGTCATCTGAAGCGCCACGGTATCGAGTCGCAGTCTCATTTGACGATATTTGAGCTGTACTTTACCGAGGCCAATCCCGTGCGGTAAAAAGCCAGATGAGTAACTCTGTCGGGTTTTTTCCTCCTCGTTCACGTTGCCAGGAACTTGTAAAAGTGAAACACAGACATTGCCGTGCATAGCGTAGGTTAGGTGATAATTTTTTTTTTTTTTTGCTCCCTTGATTATTCATTTAATAACTCACGGCTTGCTCTGCCTTTCTTTTTTGCTTCCAGTCAGTGACACTTATAAAGGATAACAATATAATTACTTGATAATTCTCAACAATACTCCATAAGTTTACGCAGTAAATTCTTTGGTATTTACAGAATTAACATGGGCCACGCTTAATTTTATCACGTTTGTAAATAATTGAGCTATGATTTTTATTTTGAGTTAATTGAAAGTGCTGAGTAATACATGTAATATAAATAACATTAAATTGTAAGATATGCTTACATCATTTATTAAAGTGAAAAATTTGTCTGGAACTAAAAAATGTTGATGCGTTTTGCAAACGTGGTAAAAAAAATAGCACTTGTTGAATAGCATAAAAGTAACGTTTTCATTAAAATTAATGCAGTACATCTATGGCTTTTTTCGTACTTTCTTACAATACGAAACTTTTTGAAGAAGAAGAAAAAAACATTTCCTTATTAGTAAAATAATTTATCACAGCTGCAAGCAAACATGTGAATGCAAAAATTTATTTATCGCAAACGAACGATATTACTGTCACATAGTATACTATTCTTGAAATAAAACGACCGCAATGTTTATTCTATATCAGTTTATGATAAAAAAAATATTTCTAATTTCAATAATCGTGGGTCTGATTTATAAAAAATGTTCAAAGCCTTAAAGAAAGCAGTAGTACGTAAGAATATTTTGTAATTATAGATCGATGCTCAGAAAATGGGTAAAAGGTAATGGATTTGCTGTTTTTGAAATTAAAATTGCTTATCGTAAATTCGCGTGCTGTATATGCATTTATCCGAACAATACGTTCAAACAAATCTTTTAAGTTTGTTACTAACCCGTGAGTAACCTTCGGTATGAATGAGATTATGAAATCTCTCTTGCAAGAAGCTTATTAATCGACTTGAACTTGATGTTTTCACTATAATTGTGATAATTCGTATCGTAAAAATACGGAACGAAGTAGATTATACTATAATTTCTGGACTTTCAATAAAAAGTATACACATGTTATTTTTTTTTCTACATCATTTTGACTGACAAAAAAAGTAACATGTACTTTTTTTAATTTTTCAAGCATGCATTGTTATCAAAATCATAAATAACGTTTGAAGAACATTTGTTTAAAATCTTACAAACGCCATTAAACTAAGTTTGAGTGTACTATGCAATTAAGTTGAACAAAGCCTTTCCAAAAATAAATTTGTATAAAAATCCATGTGTAAAATAGGACATTGATCATAATTTCCATTTTCTTAATGCATTGAATATAATATATAGTGCCAGTGCAGCAAACCTACACAGCGTATAGACTTTTGGAATTAAATTTTAATTTTTTTTTCGAGCTAGAAAAAAAAAATATTAATGAAAACTAACCAAACCGATCAAACTAAGAAAAAAGTTGAAAAAAAAAAAAAAAAAAGTTTATGTACCTATGTAAGTATGTCCAGCGTGTATATAGTTACGCGTAAAATTTGCATGTATCAACGGTGAGTGAACAAAGATTGAAACAGAGAAAAGAGTTCTTTGAATAAGAGTTATCGTTTGTATGGCGTTTAATTATATTTTTCGTAATTATTGTACTACTTCTACTGCTATGACTACCACTGCTACTTATATTATTGTTGCAATTTTTATCCTCTATCCCCACTTATTGCAACAGCAATATTTCTCAACTTTTTATTTATTTTTTTTTGTGACTTGAAACGCTCTAATGTTAATAAAAGAAAACAAAATAATAATTTAAAAATACGAAATAAAGATAATACGAGNACAAAGCAAGCACATAGGCCTCGTTATCATGTCACACACGTCATGCAAGCGTAAAATATTGTAACCTGTCACAGCATACTTACGGATTATGAGACACGTTGGCTGTCTGAATATTTGAGAGACTCTTTAAGAAACAACTAAGTACGAGCAGTGTCTCGGGAATACAGGAAAGATACTTACCCTATATTATTCTGAATATTAAAAACAAAAAATAAAGAATAACTACAATAACAAACATTTCTAAATTTTTACTTTAGACGCTTGTTTTCAAGTCAATCGTCGATTTGTATGTCCCACAGAAAAAATTCTCTCGTTTAAAGAATGAAATCATTAAAACTTTACTTAGATTTATCGCTTACATTTTAATGTCATGATAAAAAAAAGGTCCCCTTTGCTGTCGTAACTGATTGATATCACAATTAAATCTGAGGCGATTTGTCGCTATGCCAATGACGATAGCATACATATATGCATAGTAACACAGTATTGCAGAGCCTATTGGGCACAGTTGTCAGAAATGACTGTAAATTATTAAAAAAAAAAAATGAAAAAAAAAATTTGCAAATCTAATACGTCTTTGAGCACGAGTTGAGAGACTTTGATGTTAGTCTACATCGTTGCAATTATAAAAGGAAAATAAGATATAAACAAATTTTTGCAATTTGTTATTTCACTATTGCCCCGTGAGCACGCGACTGATCAATATGCAGACATGAAAAAAGAATATAATAGTGAGAATAGGAAAAAGTAGGGAGAAGTAAGCGTATGACTGATCTAAAAAAAAAATAAAAATAAAAAAACAGGAAATTTTATATCGTATCTGTGAATATAAATATACGTGTATATTGATAAATCTTTATCTCTTGAGTATATGCATATAAACTATACCTACGTGAGTTTCCATCAAAGAAATTATCGTATCATTGAATCGTGCGCATAATTTATTGTCACAACGTGTAGAATCGACAAAATTGTGAAGCTGGGTACTTCGATGATAAACGCAAAATTTTCAACAATTAAATTGAATGTTTGCTGCTTTCTCAACTTTTTTTTACATCTGTATAGAAAGTAACAGCTTTTACGATGAGCTGCTGTAAACAGTTGTAATGTAAACATTAAAAAAAAAAAAAAAAAAAAAAAAAAAAAAAAAAAAAAAGTTTATGTACCTATGTAAGTATGTCCAGCGTGTATATAGTTACGCGTAAAATTTGCATGTATCAACGGTGAGTGAACAAAGATTGAAACAGAGAAAAGAGTTCTTTGAATAAGAGTTATCGTTTGTATGGCGTTTAATTATATTTTTCGTAATTATTGTACTACTTCTACTGCTATGACTACCACTGCTACTTATATTATTGTTGCAATTTTTATCCTCTATCCCCACTTATTGCAACAGCAATATTTCTCAACTTTTTATTTATTTTTTTTTGTGACTTGAAACGCTCTAATGTTAATAAAAGAAAACAAAATAATAATTTAAAAATACGAAATAAAGATAATACGAGATTGTTGTATTTATACGAAAATAAATAGAAAAAAGTCGTGATTATGTATAGAATCGCAAGCGGCTCGTTTATATATAAAAATCATTTACATGAAAATACGCTCAACATCGCATCGATAATTTTTGAGAGTGTACGATTTTGTTACTAATTTCTGTCGACTTCGTAAAAAGCCTCTAATGATGTGTTTAATAACTGAATATAGCGTTAAATTACTAAATTTTACTATTTTTAATATTATTATTATTACTACTACTATTA